GAAACAAGACAGGAATTTTGTCTTGGAAAAGAGGGAAGGGGGAGGTGACCCAAAGCTGCAGAGGGCAGACCCTGAGAGCTCTTGGGATGGGGAAGTTCAGGAGTTCAGCCCTTCCCCAGTGAAACTGCAGGATCTCAACACCAGCCTGACATCTCCTTGAACAGTCTGGGCTGGGAGAGGGAGTTTTGCTATTTTTAAATTGAGATGTTGAAACCCTGCTCCAGATTCTGCAACTCCTGACCAAAGAAAGAGAAAATTGCTGCAGAAGAGCAGCACTTCTGCATTTTCTCAGGCTCTGCAACAACAACAAAAGCGCCATAATTTGGCTTTTGATTGCATCTTTATGTTGTTGCTGTTTTCTTTGAGCCTTCCTGGGAGTGAAAATTGCAGGAATTTTTGGGGTTTTTTCTGCTTTGCAGTTTGATTAGAGCAGCAGGGGCTGAGCTGGTGCCACCTGTGATGCCAAGGTTTTGGGAAGCTTTGGTGGCTTTACAACAATTCCTTCACTCCAGTGAACCAATTTCCTTTCTTTCCCCTCCAACCCCAGGTGATGAATAACTCAGGCCCCTACAAGAACTTCCAGATCGAGGTGAAGAAAGGGGGGTACTTCCTGCATGGCTCCAACAAATCCTTTGCATCCTTGAAAGACCTCATGGATCACCTGAAGGGACAGATCCTGCGGACAGACAACATCAGCTTCACCCTGAAGAGGTGCTGCCAGCCCAGACCCAGAGGTAGCCTGGCCTTGCAGGCTTTTGTTGTTGCAAGGGAGCAATCTCCAGACTCTTTTAGTGTATTTTTAGTGCTCTATCCTGGTGTGAAGCTCTTAAAAAATAAAAAATAATTTAAAGATTTTTCTTTCTCTGGGAAGTTTTGTCAGATGCCATGGGCAGGTTTGAGGAGGGGAAAAGAGGGTTGGGACCTGCTGGGTTTGCTCTCACTGTGAGCTGCTGTTTAATAACTCATCTGCAGCAGGCAGCAGGGAAGGGTTTTGGTCCCAAAACTGATGTCCTGAAGAGGCTGGTGGCAGGAAATCATCTGTGAGGTCCCATGTGAGGGACAATGGGGCAGTTGTTGGGTGCTGCCAGCACTCTGGAGCTGTTTGCTATGAACTCTGAGAGCCTTGCAGCTGAGTTTGGTGTGAGAGGAAGCACAGTGGGGTGATTGTGCTGAGCTGATAATGGTTTCCTGTGAGCAGGGGAGTAACTGAGCCACATCAATCACCTGCTGCTCTGGGGCTGTGGGAGAGGCCCTGAGCTGCTCACACTCTGCACCATGAACGTGCCATGGTCTGCAGCAGGGGCACGTTGCACTTCTGGGATTTTGGTTTCATTTTAATGGCTGGATTGGGGATAAAACGACATTAAAAGGGTCAGGGAGTTGAGTGCCCACTTCAGCTTGTCCCTGGCTTTAGTTGCAGCAGGATTCCCTGCATGTTCCCTGTTCTGTCCCTTCCCTGGTGGGTTTTTCCTTCTTTTTGAGTATTTAATCAGATATTCATGAAGAAGTGCAGGGCATGCAGGACTGGAGCAGGGTGTGGTGATTCCTGGTGATTCCAGAATTCCAGATGATGATTTAGCCCCAGTGCCAGGTTCTGCTCACAGCAGGAGGAAGCCCAGCTGGCCACACACGTCCCAGTCCCAGTAAATAATGCCAGGAAGGCAGAATTCATGTGCAGAACCTCTGGATCTGCCCTGCAGCACTGGGAAGTGGACTTTTGAGTCTGTTCTTCTGCTCATTCCCCATTGTCCAGCTCAGTTCCAGTGCCCTGGGAGCACTGTTGGTGCTTCCCAGAGTAGAGGGAGTTTGGAAGGAGGTGAGGAGGAAATGAGGCTCCCCCTTGCACACTGGAGAGGGGATGGCAGGAGGGGTGGGGATGTTTTATCCCATTTTATTCAATGTACAGCACAGGTATTTTCTCTTTCAATCTTTGTGCAGAAAACTCTGTTCAGTTGTTCAAAATCCCCCTGATCTGGCTGATAATTACTCTGTGTTTAAAATATGAAACTGTGCTTTAGTGATTTCTCTGTTGAATGAGAAGAAATCAAGCCCAAGTTTCTTTTTCCCTCCCTTTTTTTGGGATTTTAATGCCTTTCCATCCATGTGGGTACCGGGAAGGGGGAGTGCAGTTTCTCTGAAAATCTTTAAGGATATTTTCTCCCCTGCCTTGCAGAAATCTCCAACCTGCTGGTGGCCACCAAGAAGGCCCAGGAGTGGCAGCCAGTGTATCCCATGGGGCAGCTGAGCTTCCACCGCATCCGCAAGGAGGAGATCGTGCAGGTGGGAGCCTGGGGGGCTGCATGCAGGGACCCCCAGAGCCTGGCCTTAGCATTTAGAGCTTGGAATTAAACCCTGCATCTGACCTGAGACCTTGGGAAAGGCTCCCAGGCTGAGGTGCCAGAAGCGAGAATGTGGAGTTATAAAATAAATGTGTATTTTTAAAGCAGAGACCTGTTAAGCTAAGTAAAGGAAAGTTTAGAGTTTTAGAGTTTAAGATACAGAAAAAATAAAAGAGTTACAAAGGTAACAATGAGTTCAGAATGCAGCACTGTAGGTTTGTGTGCCATAACATGATTGGCTAAGAAAGCTTGCACTGGAGCCTGGGTCCATGAGACCAAATGTGTAAGGAGTGGGTCAAAAGCATAAACATCCTTGGTGGCAGTGGTTTGTTGGTCAATAAACCCTTACAAGGATTGTCACCAGAGGATTGTGACCTTCTGAGCCACGCAGTGAAGA